GATGTTGCTTATTGGTCCAGTTGTAAGGCTTTTTGTTTTCTTTATGTTGAGGTGCAATCCATACTGGAGGCTTTTATCTTCATCAGTGTTTCAAGGGGTCTTCATTTTCAGCAGGCAAAGTTGTGTCATCTGTATATTATAGGCTGTTAATGAAACTTCCCCCAATCCTGATGTCACATTCTACTTCATAAAGTCCAGCTTCTCACGGAAAATTTCCTCAGCGTACAGACTGAATAAATGAAGTGAAAGGTACGACTCTACTGCACACTTTTTCTAATTTTGAACAAAGCTGTAAACCCTTCTTCTGTTCACCACAGAACATGACTGCCTCTTGGTCTATGTACAAGTTCCACATGAACACAATTACATGTCCTGGAATTCCCATTCTTCATAACGTTACCTGTTGTTCTGGTTCCCTAGTGCTGCTCTGACAGGAATATACCACAAATAGGTGGCCTGAACAAACAGGACTTTATTCTCTTACAGTTTGGAGGCTACAAGTCCAAGTTCAAAGTGCCAGGCTCTAGGGGCTGGGTGAAAGCCCCTCGGCCTTGGGCTTCACCTCTGCCTCTTGCTCCTGGCCCACTGGAGCTAGAGACATCTCTTCACTCAGGCAGCTACTGGCTGCTGAGGCTAACAAGCCCAAGGCTGACAAATAAAATGGTACAGTCCCGATGTTACCAAACCACGCGGCAGGTCATTAATTCAAGTCCATTGAAAGTCCCAAGGTCAGCAGAGCATGGCAGGCTGCTGAACAACAACAGAGCTGCATGCAGGGTCCAAGCGTGCCATAAGCTAGAGACCATTCCCAAAGCTGTTTCTTATACACGGGAAGCAGACCACATACCCAAAGCAGCTACTCAGCTGCTCCAATAGATTCCACCAGGGAGTTAATTACCAATCTCCTCATGGGGAATAACCACATCCAGCTGCCCAGCCACTCAACCAGGCCCAGCCAAGTTCACACAATAACATAACCACCACACCCATAATTTATTATAATCCACACAGTCCAATGCCTTAGCATAGCCAAACAACACAAGTAACCATCTTTCTGATATTCTCTACTTTTGTCCAAGATCCATCTGACATCAGCAATGATATTCCCTCATTCCATATCCTCTTCTGAATTCACCTTGAACTTCAGGCAGGTCTTTGCCAATGTACAGTTGAAATCATTTTTTAATTATCTTCAGCAAATTACCGTTGGCATATGACACTAATGATAGCTGTTGATAATTTGTCTCTCTTTGGAATGTGCACTGATATGGATCTCTTCCAGCCAGCTGGCCAGGAAGCTGTCTCACAAATCTTTCTACATAGATGAGTGAGCGCTTGCACTTTTGCACCCACTTATTGAAGCATGTCAGCTGCTGTGCCATCAATTCCTACCACCAAGTGGGCACTGCTAGCTGCCTACACAATACGGAGTCTCCCCGTCCTCCTCCTAAGAGACCGTGGTTTTGATTGAAGAGCAACAAGGCCAGAGAGCAGTATTCAACAGACCCTCAAGTCTGTGGAACAAGTCATGCACTCCTGGCAGCATGTGATATAGTAAAGTGGGGCTGAACTATTCAGTGAAAGAGGACATGTCCACCAACCAGGTTAAAACAGTAAATCTAAAGGGAAGTAAGAATAAACACTGACCTCTAACATCACACTCAACAAAAAGTGAACCGAGTTTGCCAGGAAGTCTCCAGAAAGGTCTCTGCTGGAGGAAGATGGGAAAATCCAGATAGGAAGGACAGTGACACTCTCCAGGTGCCAAACGGGCAGGGAGGCTGCATCTTCTGACCTCCTCTAACCTCACAAGAGGAGGACAGAATCACTATCAGCAGCCCAAGGCCTAGCCCGACAAGGCCAGACATGCTACCTCCCTCCAGCCCGTTCACCAACCCTGACACCAACTGTCCCTCCCACAGCACTCACTGCCTCTCTGGTAGACTCAACAATTCATTGCAGTGGCCACGCAGAACTCAGACACCACTCACAGATTATGGATTTACTAGGGAAGCAACAGGCTACAATTCAAATTCAGGAATGCGCTCAGGGTTCAGTTTCTCCGTCAGGAGAGTCTCTCCTCTGCCGTGCCCTTAGACACGCCTCTGTGGGCCTTGCCCTTTCAGCCTGGCCTCTGTCTCTGAGGGCCAGATAAGGCTGCCACTCTGTCTCGTGCCTCTTGGCTCCACTGCAGCCATCTCTCAGCTGGGTGTCTCTCTCTCCGCAGCAAGCCCCTTTCAGCAGCATGCTTCTCTCAGCCGGCAGTCAGAAAGACTCTCTCTCCTGCCTCTAGGAGGTCTCACGTTAAGCCTGGCAGAGTGGCAAAACCCACCAATGCCAACACCAGAATTCCACACACCAGAGAGCGCGTGAACTTCCCAAAAAATTGCTTCATGCCGCTTGCAACAGAAATACCCCAGGTGGATAACGTTAACAATCAGGAGCTATTCAGCTGCTCAAAGCAAACTCCACCACAGAGTTCACAAAGACTATGGCTAGAAAAGCCACACCATATAACTTCCTGCACTGCACCAGGATTCCTGGATCTGAGGTGTGGAGAGATAGGGCATCCACTAGATAGGACCTAACTCACACAGCTCTCCCCTGATGGCAAGGAGCTCTGGTGGTACAGTGGTTAAGGCACTTGGCTGCTCACCAAAAGGTCGGTGGTTGGAACCCACTGGCCGCTCTGGGGAAGGAAGATGGGATGGTCTGCTCCCACAGAGATTTACAGCCTTGGATACTGATGGGGGCTGCTATGGGTCGGAATCAACTTGATGGCAGTGAGTGGCAAGAAGCTCCTGTGGTGGTCAAGGCTGGGTGTCAGTTTGACTGGCCATGATCCCAGTTACAATGTTGTTATCTCCCATGACCTGATCTGATAGAATGTAATTGCCTCCATGAGGAAATCTGCTGTGAGCAGCTCATCAGTTCAAAGGGAGTTCCTTTGGAGGGTGGCCTGCTCCCAGGATACATGGAAAACCTAGGGCCATTTCCTTGAGACTCTGCATCTGACTCATCATGATCCGAACCTAAACCTGTCACACTGCCACCGATCTGAGGCTCATCAGCCCCTGCAGACATTAAGTCAGGGGAAGCTTCCAGCTTGACATCTGACTCATGGACTTAGGACCTTCCTGCCTCTATAACACCATGAGCTATTTCCTTGAGATAAATATCGTCCACCCCACCCCCCGAATGTATATATGACCCCCACAGGGTTTCCAAGGCTGTCAGTCTTCACAGAAGCAAAGCCCAAACCACACCCACTGCAGTGGAGTCCATTCTGACCCACAGCGCCCCTAGAGGACAGAGTGGGACTGCACCACAGGGTCTCCAAGGCTGTCAGTCTTCACAGAAGCAAAGCCCAAACCACACCCACTGCCGTGGAGTCCATTCTGACCCACAGCGCCCCTA